TGGAAAAAGGTGATTTTTTTTTTTTTTTTTTTTTAATTATGAGTGAAAATAAAAAACATTTTCCCAAATTTTATTGTTTTTTTTCCTCTATTTTTAATTCAAAAATATCACATAATTTTTTTTCCTATTTTATGAAAAAAGAACGGAAACTGGAAAATACAATAAAATAAAATAAAAACAGGAAACACAGAAAATAAGGCGCCATTTTCACAATTAAAAGTCAAAACAGAGCATGAAAATAATAACAGAAAAAAACTGTTCCTGCGTAGAAACACTCCTCTTGTTGTTCTTCCTTCTTGGTCTTCTAAGTCTTAGGTGCCGACCGAATACTATCTCCGAGGGGTGGGGGAGGGTACATGCAAAGGCACTCCGACGATCAAGTAAGTATTCGGTTCAGAGCAATAAAGGCTTTATATTGGATAATAACGTACCTCATTTATGTCCCATCACCTGTGTATTTATAGTGACATGAGTGGGCCTGGTGGGCCTTTTATTTTGGGAGATGGGTAACATTTTAATTAACCTTAATCTTCTCTTAATCAGGAATGGTAGTTATTGCATAATGGGCATGTAATTTGCCACGTGTTTTATGTGGGTTCTCCTTGCCTTAAGTCTTTGGTCAAGCCTAAGGCCGACGAGGTATTCAGCCTGGTCTAGGCCCGAAAGGGTATTCGGCCTGATCTGGGGCTGAGGGGATGTTCGGCCTGGCCTGGAACCGAGGGAGTATCCGGCTAGGTCTAGGACCGAGAAGGTATCCGACTAGGTCTAGGACCGAGAGGGTACTCGGCTAGGTCTAGGGTCGAAGTGGGTATTCAGCTTGGTCAGGAACCGAGAGGGTATTCGGCTAGGTCTAGGACCGAAGTGGGTATTCGGCTAGGTCTAGGACCGAAGTGGGTATTCGGTTTGGTCTAGGGCCGAAGGGGTCTCTTTTGGTTTTGGTGTGTTCGACCTTTGACCGGGTCAAAGGTGGGTGCCAACTGGTACAAAAACTATATACAGGATAAGGAGGGATTCGTTCGAGTAAATTTACTTACACTTATTCCTTTCAATAATTCATTTTCTGTATCTTAAATATAAAATTTTTAATTTTTAATGTATAGATCAAATATATAAATTAAAAAAGAAAATATTTATGAATGGAGTGAGACCTGTATGTTACATTTGACAACGTCAAGAGGCGTGATGGCGGTGTGGGTGAGGCCACAGCTGAGGGTTCCACCAACGGTGCAAGCAGTGTAGAAAGCAGGCGAAAACATCTCTATGCTGCGCTTCTCACTCGGAGAATGAATCACCAAACTCGACTCCTCCATCATCTTCTGCTTCTGCGCCAAGGGAGACGAATAGAGGCAACTCGGAATCAGAGAATACCGCCCCATGCTTTCTGACTCCGATGAACCCATCAAACAAATCAAACCTTCTTTTCTCTCTTACTTCTTCTCTTCTTAGTTCTCACAACCAAACAATTTTTCGCTCTTCTTCCTTTTATATTCACCGGGTGCAATCTTGTCGCGCGAATCTTCCCTCGTGTCACTTTGACAACGTTCAAGTTCTACCTACTTTAACTTTCTCATAATAAACACATGCATTTACTTTTTTATAGACTCTGATGACATCATCACCAACAACGGTTAATCTGGTCAAATGATTTTTTTTTAAAAAAGTATATATCACACGTGTGTATATATATATATATATACACGGAGATCTTAAAATCTATTTTTTAATTATTGTATGTTTTAATAATTTTAACTATATATTATTATACATTTTATAAATGATTTTTATTTTAAGATAATCTGTAAATATGAATAAATTATTTTATTTAACTGGAATCAATCAAGTTGGACGACAAAACTATAAATGAATAAATGATTTTTTTTATGATCCCTCACCGAAAGTAAAACAATAGCTAATCATTTATAGAACTGATTGCGTAATAGATGAGAACATGGAGAGAAAAAACCTTGCAGGTTTACCTAATGCTTCTTAGAACATATCATTTTCACACGTTCTTTCAATACTGGAATAAAGTAATAATTTCCAAGGACTTGGTCAATTCTATTTCTATTTCACATCACTTTAATTATTTCACGGAATACGAATATGGCTGTAATTTCAAATTTGTTGTAGCCTTGTAGGCCAAGAAAAAAGGAAGTGGGTCAAACTGATATCGGGTCAAAACGCTCAACTTTGATACATGAATCTGTAATTGATATGAATACGTCGTACTATATATATATAAAAAAAAAAAAGAAAAAAAAAAAAAGGTGTCAATTGCTACGAGCTCTTCGAAGTAATTCACTTTATTTTTTTTCAAGGGAGTTTTTATTTTTATTTATTAGAATTATAATAATGTTACTAGAGTTTAAATTTAAGGCTAAGTAAGTTTATATATGTTATGTTATTTTAATTTTTATAAATAAATTGTTTGGGTCATATATATAT